TCCAAAAATTTGAGGCCAGCGGTTGGATCAAGCCAGCTATAGGGCCCTGGTCCTTCCCGTGGTTCTAGTTCCAAAAAAGATCGGGTCGATTCGCATATGCATCGATTACAGAAAATTCAATGATATCACCATTAAAGATGTATATCCCCTTCCCCAAATTGATGATTTGTATGCGATTGGGTGTGCCAATTACTTTAGTAAGTTCGATATCCGTCATGAATTTCATCATATCCTGGTCAAGGAGGAGGACTGGCCAAAAACAATGTTTGTGTTGTAAGAAGGTACCTGGCAGTGATTTTGTTGCCCTATGGGGATATGCGATGCCCCGACTACTTTCCAGAGAGTAATGAACGTCACCTTCCAGAATTTTGTTAACAAGACCAAGCTGACCTAGGGAATGATTAATTTTTGCGTCATTGCGTATATGGACGAAATTTTGGTGTACTCCGAGTCGTTTCACGGGAAATCACAACATATTGAGTGGACATTTGGAGCACCGCGAGACGCTGGTTTTAAGATCGCACAGGAGAAAATCGAATTCCTCCTCTCCGATATCTCATTCCTAGGGTACGTTGTGATCTGAGGGGGCTTGAGACCAGATTCGAGGAAGGTTGAGGCAGTTCGAGACGCACCCACACCCACGACGCTGACGCAGGTTGGAGCCTTTCTGGGACTGGCCTCATACTACCGGTGGTTCATCAAGGGATTCATGACAATCACTCGACCTCTGACGAACCTCCTCCGGAAGGACCAGCTGTTGAATTGGGACGAGGATTGCGAACGGGTCTTTCTCACTTTGAAGGAGGTCTTGGAGGCGAGACGGAAAGGCGGATGTGTCACCGTCTTCTGTTTTGTTTAAAAGATATCCCTTCGGTGTGCATATAAACGCCAAATGACCACCGTTGTCCGCAGACAAGGGTCTCGCACATTCATATCGCACACGCATGGAGACAGCGCGTCGACCGAAACATGTCCCTCGGATCACTGTGCATCCTATTATCCTCAGGGCCGCCTTCTCCTATATTTCACCATCATTGTCCTTCAACCTTGTTGTCTCGCCTCCGCCATTGACCCTCAGTCATCGCACCTACAACATCGAGCCTCTGACGTCTCGCCTCTGCAGTCTGGCCTCCACCATCTCTCCTTTGCTGTCTCGCCTCCGCTATCTCACCTTTGCCTCCTCGCCTCCGCCATTGACCCTCTGAAGTCTCGCCTTCGCCATCGACCCTCTGCAATCGACCCTCTGCCATCGACCCTCTGTCATCGACCTTCTGCCATCGACTCTCTACCGTCTGGCCTCTGCGGTCTAGCCTCCACCGTCTTGGCTCCGTCGTGTGGCCTGCGCCGCCTTCCTTTGACAATTGTCAAGTGCCACCATGGGACCCTGCAGTCGTCGATCCATGTCCTCGGATCGCGCCGCCTTCCTCTTCTATCACAGTGGAAGACCGACGTGAACCTGACAGCGAGTGTGTGGCGAACAACAATGTTTGCTGGGGATGAGTCATCGTCGTTGTAGTCGCCTTCGTTCGTCGTCGTCATGTCTACGCGTGGCGCCGATAGAGACAGGAAACACTACAACAACCTTGCCGCCAATGTCGTAGCGGAGAGGAAAGGTCGCCACACATCGAAGGGGAAAAGGCCATGTGTTGATGACACTTTTGGCAGTGAAGGGCAGGTGCGACTCCGACAAGTCAGAAGTGAAGATGGCGTCTTCATGGATGAGAAGGAAGTGCACGGCACCCGAGTTGCAGCAACGCAAGGCGGCATCAAGCTTCAGATCAAGGAGCCACAACCTGGGAAGCCTCAAGAACGATGTGTGACAACATAACGTTCTCGAGAGGACACAGTGACTGCGATTGATGTCGACGTGGCGGGTGCTGCAGGAGCAAGTGAAGGAGTTGATGTTGCATGGGGGTTAGCGAAGATGGTTGCGGATGTCCATCAAATCGCCGTAGGATCATCAACGCCAGTTACTCCGCATCATCAACCAATTGAGGAGAGGGAGTCATCCGCGGAGGTGATCCTCGTAGGTGTGGCCCACGACATGGGCAAGTGGCAGGCGCCCCTGGGCATGTGTGACCGAGAGCGGCGGGTGCTGCCCCGCAGGCCGTCGACAAACCTGATGATGAAGACGAGGAACGATCGTTGAACAACGTGCAGAGAGGGGATATCCCAAATGTTTTGGCAAACCAGGCAAGGTTGTGGGTTGACGACATTAGATTCTCGAACGAGACGGAAGGCAATTGACTGTACAAGATTGTCAATGATACGCACAACTACCTCGTCTCCATCGCCAGGGGTGTGAATCCTCTGCACCTCCTACGCAGCATCATCCTTCCGCATTCCGGTATCGCGTAGGCGACAATACCAAATCTTTGTTGCGCGAAGGAAAGGAAAATGCGGCAAAGGTGCAAAGGGTGGTCTTGCGCGTCATCCATGGGTGGATCTTCAAGTTGAGCAGCAGGTCGCGAGGATACACAGCCGCGTACGGGTACCCTCGCTGCCTCGCACGATGTGGTTCGCGGAAGAATGAAGTGTGTGTGTACGCTCCGCAAAGTGCCACATCACACTTGAATTGGACATGCAACTCCCTCTCAGGTTCGTTGGTGCACACATTGAAGACAAGCCTGAAGGCGACGAACTGGGGACATATCAAGCGACACTGTTTCAATGGCTTGTGGTGGCTTTTACGAGCGTGGTGGTTGTGCCCGAGCTTCTAAATGGCGACTGCGTGTCACACGACATGTTCAAGAGCGTGGCTAAGGGGATGGAGGTTTTTGTGGCCGTCGCCATGTGGTTCATGTGCATGTCGGGAGATGATCTCCACTCCCACTACGAGGCGTCCTTTCTCGTTCAACTAGAAGCTAAGCTGAGCCTGTCGGCTTCAATGCATCACGTCTTCGACGTGCGTCGCCACATCACACAAGCCGCGGATGTCGTCATGGAGCGGTTGGGGAAACCCGCCATGACGTTGGCATCTTCCCCGGACTACATCCCTGATTGGGCGTCGTGTGGTGTGAAATTTTGATACAGCACAAACTTGCTATCGACGATGCCAAACGGTTGGATTGGTTGGGGACGGGCCCCCCTGAAGAGCACGACGATGGCAATGTCCAGCAATAGAAAGCAGGAGGGGGGTAGGCGATCATCATCGGTGGCGCAAATGCGTTGCAGCGGGTTTGTCAGCGTTTGGACTGTGTACATTATTTGTTTTGGGTTGTGATGCATTCCATGTTTTCTGGACTATTCAGTCGTTCAAGACGACTTCTTCACCGACGACATAGATTCTCTCTCTCTCTCTCTCTCTCTCTCTCTCTCTCTCTCTCTCTCTCTCTCTCTCGGTGCTGCGATTTCTCGCCGTAAACGACTGGCAGAGCAAGGGCACGAGGTAGTATGCAGCTCGTCGGACATAGCCTTGAATAAGGTCCCTTGCCAGGTGGGGTTGGTGTTCCTCTATCGTAGTACGCAGGGTTGGTGATTAGATATGAACACTTCCCATATCATGTCATTTTCATATGGATATCATCCTTCAACCTATGAATTGAAAGCCTGAAGGCTATACCTTTTTGTTTTTTGATATCTTATTCCTTTTTCGGTTTTGTGTTTATGAGGTACATATTTGTGTTGTGTTTTTTTTTTTTTTATCGACGGAAAGTTTGTGATGGCGTAGATTATTTTCATTGTTTCTTGAAAGAGGCGTCAGGTATGCGAATGGAGATAGGTTGTCGATGAAGTCATGCATAGATTATGTAGTAGGAGTACAAGGTAATCGAAAGTTGCATGCAATGCCTGTTTGACGACACACACACACACACACACACACACACACACACACACACACACACACACACACACACACA